TGTATCATACAGTTCATGCTGAAAAATTGAGTAGCATGAAAAAACTTCAAAAGTCTTTGCAAAACATTTTCACTTAGTGTTTTATCAAAATAAGCCTTTGATTTAGTTTCCCTAATTTACAGCCAACTGCACATGATTCAAATCGATTTATAACAAATGTAAGCTGTTAGTTCTCTTACTGAATTCCATGAGTGCTGTGATCATTACTGCTGCAATATCCTTTAACAATATGATTCATATTCTCATTAATATTCAGAATTGAGGACGGTAATAAATGCATTTTTGCTGAATTTTGAGGGGTTCCAAATATAGTTCAGTCACCTGATCACTGTATTTACAGACTCAGTCTTTATGACAAGTCCCTAGTAACCTTCCCTGCCCCTCCTACCCCCCCCCGCAACCTCTCCTGCCCTCCTCACCCTCTCTCCCCAAGGACTACACCAGTACTTTTTACACTACTTATTTTTAAATCAAGGGCTTAATTGTCCTATACATAAACAGTTCTATTAATATCACTACATGTTCCTTATTATTTCCTTTCTCTGTGTTGGTGGGACTGTGCACACTGGGAACTAATTCATGTTAAGGGTAAATAAATTCTTCAACTCTGCAGGTGAGGAAGGTTTCAGTATCTGCAGCATAACTCAGGCAAACTCTTACAAACACACCATTTAAACTTAAAAACACATCTATGCACACAGTAACACAATATATGTTAGAAGTATTACTACTTCACTGTATCATTTCCTTAAATAACTTGAAAAATTACCAGAAAAAGGTACTTTAAAACTGAGTCACTTTCTGTTGTCATCAAGGTTTGCAGATGAACCTTAACTTTTCAGATGTCCTTCAATTTCAGTAGCTAATCACAAGTTGTCTGCAATAAAATAAATACTGTATAGAACTTAACACTAAAAAAAAAGTTTGGAAAAAAGAAACCCAAACAAACAAACAAAAACCAAACACACCCACACACCCCCCACAACAACCCCCCAAAAATCTAAAATTGTCTGCATCAGTTAAATTGCTGTTTAATAGATTATGGCTACTGCAGAACAGTAGGAAACTGCTAATTGTAATCTAGCTCCTGCAAAAAACCCACACACAAACAAACAATGAAGAATCAGCTGTTCAGATTATCAAATTTCTAATACAATCATACAAAATGGTTAACTTCAGCAAATATTGTGGTTATTAGACAACAGTGTTCTGTGATTCTCCTCTTAATCCCATTCTGGATATTAAATTTTTAAAAACCTGTTCAGGAAATAGCCTTGAGGACAAGTATAATAAGTGGTATAATAGAAGAGGTGTGTTAGATTATGTGATTAAAAAGCTTGTCTGCAAGCAAAGGAGAAGAGAGACACAATGGCAGGTGGGGGAGTCCAAATAATACCTTACCCTGGCTACTTCCAGACCCATCCCAGGAGACCCATCAGCCCACTGAAGTCCCTCCTCCACACCCACAAAGGAGCACAGAGGTACAAGGCAGGTGGGGGAACTCCAGTAAACCAATTAGAGAAACAGCCACTGCTCAGCTCCTACCAGGGCTGTCCCAGGAGAGCCTCAGCACCATGGAATGGGGACACACACTCTCTACTTGTTCTGGACATGGTTTTAGTTCTTGATGGTGAGCAGGTTGGTTGCATAGTTTGACTGTCTACTTGAGCACATGAACACTATCCTGTCTATTGGGACAAGAAGTTGGCCCTATTTTGTTTACTTCTACTAAAACGAAAGTTCACTAACTTTTCACTGTCTAGGCCTAACTTATGCTAACTGCCACAGTGAATTGCACTGTTGCAACTCCATTGACTGTTTTGACTAGCTGTCAGTTGACTCTACTGCAAGCCTGTGGTGACTTGGTCAGAGAAAGGTGCTGACTTTGAAGACACCCATATTTAGAGAGGCAAATCTTGCTGACTTCTTGAAGGTCTTTATAGTTCTTTCTGTCTTCAAAGTGGTAAATTATTCAGCAGACTATACATTTTTTTTTTCGGAGAAAATTCCTGAAATTTATTTTAAACATGTAGATTAAAAATCATACATTCAGCAGTTTGTTATCACTTGGTACAGATTAAGTGAAGTCTGAAGTGAGTAACAGATGAAGTTTAAAGTTTGAAATTAGCTATGAGAAAGGAAAAGATACCAGTGAAGATTCTATGGAAAAAAGGTCTTATAATTATTTCACAGTTGTGTGGGCCTGTGTAATATATTTTCTCTTGGGTGAACAAGCATTGTTCAGGTCTGGCTTCTGACACGCTGTTGTATGGCAGTTACTAAATGGACCCAAATCAGTTGTCCCCCTGAAAGACTGTGAAATATACCTTCTTTTTTGTATGTGTGGTATGGGTAGATATTTGTTAATGTTAATGAGAAAGTGTGCTTTCCCAGCGTTCAGGTTTTATTTTGTCATTGGTGCTTTTGACAGTGCTGTGGCTAGACAACTGCGCTTGGTTGATTGTTCACTCTGGACTCTCTGAAGTCTGGATACCTTGGTGTCTAGGAGACATTTGTTGTCTTATTTTATTCATTAAACCATTGCATTGCATTTCAGGATTGTTTGCTTATAGACGTGTGTTTAATGTCTCTTAATATTCAAATAACAATATTTCAATTGACAATATTGCATGTCTTCCGTTCCTAAGGATATTTACTGCTTTGAATTTACTGTTCTCTTTACAAAGTCAAGTCCACATTCACATAACTTGACTGTTCTTGACGATCTGTCACTTGAGATCAGAGAGCTTTTTCTTTTCACAGTATTTCTGAAGTTCATTAACATTTTGCCTTTTCTGTTC